CAGATTCCCGTTTTCCTTCAGGGCAGCAGCGGAGAGCTGGGCCAGGATTTGTGTCCCAAGTTTGGCGTGGCCGGGAAATGCAAACCCCATTTTCTCCTCTGGAAAGCAAATACCAGCAGTGGGAGGGATCAGGAGCTGAGAAATTTTGCAAATGCCGAAATTATCAATGTAATTATCTAAAAATCCCTCTCCCCAAATGCACTGCTCCCTTCACCTTGAGCAGGATCCAGGGACCCCAAACTCCTGGAGATGTGAGGACTGAGGGAGCACCACCAGCATGGAGAGAAGCAACCGTTCTCCTAGAAACTGGAAATGTAATGTATTAAAGACCCCAAATTTAATTTGTTTGGTTGCTTTTGAGAGGATTGAACAGTTTTTCCTTCCATCCTGGGCACATCACTGGGCACAGCCTCCCCCACACTCCCAGAGCTGCTCCCCAGTGCTCCAAACATCCTGGAGGAGAACTCTGAGAGGAGCTGGATCTTTTCCGAAGGAATTCCCAAATCTCCTCCTCTCCCATGTGCACTATTGGCTGCAGCCTTATTATCAGAAAGGATCTATAAGGAATTTGGGCTGGTGCTCCTCTCTCAGCAGCACCTTCTGATGGTTTAATGATGGTTCTGAAGGCAAAGCTCGGCTCTGACAGTTCTCTCACCGTTGTTCCCCGGCTGGTGGCTCCATTTGCAGTTAAAAAATCAGAATTTTTCAGGGAATGCGTGTTTGTACTGCTCCTGAGCGGGCTGTCAGTAATGGCATTTCTTCTGGAAGACTTGGAGGGAATGCACAGGGAATGCAGCACAGGGAATGCAGCACAGGGAATGCAGTGCAGGGAATGCTGTGCAGGGAATGCAGTGCAGGGAATGCAGCACAGGGAATGCTGTACAGGGAGTGCTGGTGCAGAGAATGCAGCAAAGGGAATGCAGTGCAGGGAATGCAGCACAGGGAATGCAGTGCAGGGAGTGTTGGTGCAGGGAATGCAGCACAGGGAATGCAGCTCAGGGAATGCTGTACAGGGAGTGTTGGTGCAGGGAATGCAGCACAGGGAATGCAGCGCAGGGAACGCTGTACAGGCAGTGTTGGTGCAGGGAATGCAGTGCAGGGAATGCTGTACAGGCAGTGTTGGTGCAGGGAATGCTGTACAGGCAGTGTTGGTGCAGGGAATGCAGCACAGGAACGCTGGAGATCCACACATGTTTCGGATGAAGGCTGGCCACGTGCAGCTGGTGCTTACAACGCTTTACATCGGTGTGGATTATCCGTCTGTCATGTTGGGTATTAAGTCACCCTGCATTACTCTGCATTCCCCCTTGGCTCAGGGATGTATGGAAAAGCAGGGGAGCACCTCCCCCCCTGCAAAGGATCCTGTTTTCCCGTGTTTGCCCTGGAAAAACACACATTTTAATCACTCTGCCACGTAAAATGACTCCCATTTATTCCACACGACAAATCCAGTGTCGTTTAATTAATTTGGGTTGCAGAGGAAAGATCGAGCATTCACCAACAACTTCACCTTTGGGAGTGTCAGTGAGAAACCCTCGTGCTGTGCAGCTGCCAGGGCCAGGACAGCATTCCTGAGGGAAGTTCTGCATGGAGAGGAAATGTCCCTGTGCCCCTTGCTGCCACCAGGTCACCCTAAGGGCAGCAGTGAGTGTGGACAAGCAGTGGGCTGGCAGGAAAAGTCTGCATGAGAGCAGGGAGGGGACACAGGCTGGTCCCAAGTGAAAAACCTGAGAGAAGCACAAAGCAGGGCAGGACAAACCCTGCCAGGAGGTAGGGGAGGTTTTCCATCCCTGTTCCTGCATTCCATGAGGGTCCAAGAGATTCCCAGCACTGGCAGCCAGAGCTGCTCCTGTGTCCTAAGGATCTCCTTTGCAGAAGACATCAGTAACTACCACACAACTAAAATCCCCCCTTTTTAAGGGTCTCATCACACTGAAAACTTGCTGGGGTTTGTGACAGCACTTTTACATAAGAAAACAAGAATTCATACTTTCTACATGATGCAGCACCAGAAATCACATTAGCAAAGAGTTGGAGCAAGAAGATCAACATTTATTACGTCCCCATCATACACCTGCTTTTAAGTATGAGCTGGAATATTGGATAAAGAGGGTTTCAAATCAAACCTGTCTCCAGCTTTGTGCTTGGGGCAAGTTCTTGCAGTGCCAGCACCGCCGGGGTTGTATTAAATTTGCTGTGGGGATCCAAAACACAACTCAAATCATTTGTCTGTTGTGGTTTGGGAGATGGAACTGATACATGTGGGCATGGAGGAAGGACATACTCCAAGGGTGGATCCATCTGGATTAGAGGTCAGAATCTATTCTGAGTGCTCTGTGTGAGCAGCAGGTTGGCACCCACAACCACCTGTAGATTTTGGTGCAATGCAGAGCCCCTTCAAAGCCCTTTGACCTCACATTATTTCTAAATCCTAAATCTCACTTTCTCTCAGCAGGATGTGGATTTTACCCCGGGGGGTGGATGGGCTCAGCTCACTGTGGGATGTCCCAGAATCACAGAACATCCTGAGCTGGGAGGGACCCACAAGGAGCATCCAGTCCAACTCCTGGCCCTGCACAGGACACTCCCAAAATCCCACCATGCCCTGAGAGCATTGTCCAAATGCTCCTTGAGCTCTGGGAGGCTGCTGGGCAGGGAGGGTGGCAGGAAAAGCGCTCCTGCTGCAGGTTTTTCTTGCACTGAGCAGCAAGGGTTGCACTTTGGCAGCACCTGGCTCAGGATTGTCGTGCCCAGGCAGCACAGCAGGAGCCTGGGGGGGGACTCCCGAACTCCCACCGCCAGGAAAAGGCAGCAGGCACGCACAGGAGAGTTACCTGCACAAGCTGTGGTGGAGTTTGGTGTCAACAGCACTTTTTGGGGCATTTTTTGTAATTGTATCAGCTTGATATCCAAGCATTTCACCTCCCAGAAGAAGCCATGGCCCCTGAACTCACTGTTTGCAGAAGTTCCTGAAGTTTTGTAGGCACTAACACACAAACCATGTTGGTTTTCTTTGGAAAAACTTCAACCCAACCCGTCCCTCCAGCCCCTGGCTCCCCACCCATCCCACAGCACCTCCCACAGCCCAGCAGGAAAACCACGGGGATTATCCACCAGGAGAGAGGGAGAACCATCCCCATCTGTGCAGGGAGAGAAAGCAATAAATAACAAATGAGATCTGATTATGTAACACAATCTTATTTCCAATGTGCAGACGAATGATGCAATAATAAATCACACCTTGGTGTTTCACCAGCTCAGAGCCAGCTCCAAACTGCAACATCTGGAGTTCTGGCTGAGCCTTCCAAATTCTGGGGGCACCTGAACCCCGAGGTTCCCCTCCAGCAGAGACAGAAAAATCTCAAGTCCCCCAGGGCTGGGGACTCCAGCACTGCCCTGGGCAGCTGGACAGCCCTTTCCATGGAGAAATTCTCCCAATATCCCACCCTCCCCTCCCCTGGCACAGCCTGAGGCCGTTCCCTCCCCTCCTGTCCCTGGCAGGGAGTGGTGCAGAGCCACAAGGTCCAGCCCCAGGGCTGTGCCAAGGGATGGGGTGGCTCTGCGGGTCCCTGCTGGAGCCGCAGCTCCGCTGAGTTTGGGATTCAGGGCTCGGCAGCGCTGGAACAGCAACTGCTCCATCTGCTGGGAGCGGCTCCGGCCGCGACGGGAGGCGGGATTGATGTGGGATGTGATATGGGATGCGGGATGTGATATGGGATGTGATATGGGATGCGGGATTTGATGTGGGATGTGATATGGGATGCGGGATTTGATGTGGGATGAGATGTGGGATGCGGGATGCAGGATTTGATGTGGGATGTGATATGGGATGCGGGATTTGATGTGGGATGTGATATGGGATGCGGGATGCGGGATTTGATGTGGGATGGGGGATGTGATGTAGAATGTGATGAGGGATGCAGGATGTGATATGGGATGCGGGATGTGGGATGTGATGAGGGATATGGGATGTGGGATGTGATGCAGGATGTGATGCAGAATGTGAAGCGGGATGGGGGATGTGATGAGGGATGCAGGATGAGGGATGGGGGATGCAGGATGGGATGGAGGATGTGATGCGGGATGGAGGATGTGATGTGGGATGTGGGATGTGGGATGTAATGAGGGGTATGGCATATGGGATGCGGGATGTGATGTGGGATATGGGATATGGGATATGGGATGTGGGATGTGGGATGTGATGCGGGATGTGATGCTGGATGTGATTCTGGATGTGGTGCTGGATATGGTGCTGGATGTGATGCTGGATGTGATGCGGGATGTGATGAGGACTGTGGGCTCACAGCCCCCCCAGCAGAGCGGTGGCAATGTCCCCTCTGCAGCAATGTCCCGGCCAGTCCCGGCATCCCAGCATTCCCAGTATCCCAGGGAATCCCGGCTGGAATCACTGGTCCTAAAGAAACCGGGCTGAGCCAGGCCGGCTGCTCTCGGTTTATGAACAAATCACGTAAAAGAAAGGGGATTTGGGTCAGATGTGAGGGGAAAATCCTTCCTGGGAGGGTGGGCAGGCGCCCCAGTTTCCTGGCTGTGGGTGCTGGAGGTGTGATGGGAGAGGTGGCCCAGGCCTGGCCCCGTGGCCAGGGGCTCACAGGGGTTTCTGTCCTGTCCAAAGTCCCTGATGGATACGGAGACACCCAGACACGATGTTGGAAGAAGAAGAGAAGAAATACTTCCTTGCTTTCTGAGCGTGGCATTTTTGTACCTCAGCAAATTGGCGTCGCTACCACCGGCAGTCCTTACTTTAAAATATGGACATTTCTCTGCTGGAAAAGCTTTCCTGCACTATTTCCTTGACCTGAAAGCTGGGAGTGTCAATACATCAGCGCTGAAGTCTGCTGAGTGCCTAGAAATAAGGGGATATCATCTCCAAAATGAGTGCCCACCAGGCTCTGTCAGCTCTGCCAGCACGGAGCAGCTCTTTGCAACTTTGATTTACTGGCAATTGTTGGAAAAGGAGCAAGCAAGGAATGAAAACCCAATATTTCCATTACCGTTTACTTAATAAAAAAATATTGTAGGGAAGTCAGACATCATAAAACGCCCATCCTCGCTCTGTATTTACAGGGTCATCCAATAACTTGAGCCAGACCAGTAATCAATTTTAAAAAGCCCTTTGCAATTGAAGGCACAGACAAGTGAGTGCTCCATATCAATATTCCCAGAGCAGAGCAGCAGCCACGCTGCCCTGGATCACCCCAAACACGCCAGGCTGAGTTAGAGCCCTCAGAGGGATGAGGTGGCTCCCAGGGAGCGCTGCAGGGGGAGGCTCCATTTCCAAGGAGCCTTTTGGGACACAGAAATTCCTTCTCCAACATGCCCAAGAGCTCTTCTGCATCATCATCTGCATCATCCTCTTCTGCATCTGCAGCTGCACTCACAGAACACCTTTTCTCTTCATGTGGAGGGGATTTAACACCAAGCTCTGGGACTCTGGCCAATCCACAGGGCAGAAGTGCTGCAAGAAAAGAGCAGCTCTGACAGGGGGATTCCTCCTGTCCCCCTGCCTGGGCTGCTTCTGGTCCTTCCCATTGTCACAGGATCACAGAATGGCTTGGGCTGGGTGTCACCTCAAAGATCACCTGGTTCTGGCCCCGTGGGCTGGTGACTTTAGGGCCAGCTCAGAGCTGAGGCTCTGCTCATGGGCAGCTCCCAATGTTCACCTTCCTCAGAGTCACTTTGGGCCACATCTACAAAAATTCCCTTTAGAGGAGAAACCTCAGGTGGCTGCTGCAGGAATCAAAGCTCAGTTCCCAGTGAGGGCCGTTCCCTCTGGATGTGTTCCCACCCTGGAAAAGAGCAGAACAAGGATTGGGCTCTGAGCAGAGCGGCTGGACCAAGGCAAGACCACACAATCCTTTTCCCTCCTGTTGTCTGCAGCCACCCTCCAGAGACATTTTGAGATAAAATGTGCTGTTCCAAGAGTTGCTCATTCTGAGAGCAGTGCCTGGTCCCTGAATCCCCAGGGAGCAGCAGGAAGTTCCAGGGAGCAGGAGGGAAAGTCAAAGCAGCGTTTCTGCCAGAGTCACCCAGCATCTCTCATTTCCCAGTCCATGGTTTAATCTATTTTAATGATTATCAATACTGATGGTGAGTGTAATCACCTTGTCTGATACAATTGCTAGAATCTAAAAGTCAACCTGATTTTAATGGTTTATCATTAGGAGTATTATTTAGTCGGATTAAACTGGTCTTAATTCCTCCGCAGTCATTATTTAAAAGCTGTTTGGAGCACATTAGGGCGACCCCCTCATCCTGGAATGAATCAATGCCCTGTCTCCGTCCCATATATTTCCAGCAGCCTCTCACAAGCAGCCACACGATGGACACCGAGGCACTAGAAGCTGTTAATATTCATGAATCCTCCCTCCTGCCGCTCAGATTCCCTTAACAGCCCCAGCAGGGGTTGGATTGAACTCTCCCACCGGGATGGGGATCCCTAAACCCCGGCAGGAGGGCTGGGAAACTCCCGGGATGGGATTTGGAAAAGCTGGAGCAGCTTCCAGGGGACAGGTCCAGAGCCTTTGGAAATGTCTGGGGGCATCCCTGTCACCTCCCAGGGCCAGGGGACACAGCCCAGGGCAATCCCAGTTCATCCCAGCATGGAACAGGGAACTGGGCTGCTCCAGCAGCAATCCCAGTTCATCCCAGTATGGAACAGGGAACTGGGCTGCTCCAGCAGCAATCCCAGTTCATCCCAGTATGGAGCAGGGAACTGGGCTGCTCCAGCAGCAATCCCAGCATGGAACAGGGAACTGGGCTGCTCCAGCAGCAATCCCAGTTTATCCCAGCATGGAACATTGAGCTGGGCTGCTCCAGCAGCAATCCCAGTTCATCCCAGTATGTAACGGGGAACTGGGCTGCTCCAGCAGCAATCCCAGTTTATCCCAGTATGGAACAGGGGAACTGGGCTGCTCCAGCAGCAATCCCAGTTCATCCCAGTATGGAACAGGGGACTGGGCTGCTCCAGCAGCAATCCCAGTTCATCCCAGCATGGAACTGGGCTGCTCCAGCAGCAATCCCAGTTCATCCCAGTATGGAACAGGGAACTGGGCTGCTCCAGCAGCAATCCCAGTATGGAACAGGGAACTGGGCTGCTCCAGCAGCAATCCCAGTTCATCCCAGTATGGAACAGGGAACTGGGCTGCTCCAGCAGCAATCCCAGTATGGAACAGGGAACTGGGCTGCTCCAGCAGCAATCCCAGTTCATCCCAGTATGGAACAGGGAACTGGGCTGCTCCAGCAGCAATCCCAGTGCATCCCAGTATGGAACAGGGAACTGGGCTGCTCCAGCAGCAATCCCAGGAACTCGAGTTTGGGGAGGGGGAACTCCAGGATGGACTTGGGAAAACCTCACATTCCAGGAGAAAGGCAGAAGGTGCAAATAAAGCAGAGTTGTCCTATTTTAGATACAGTTTTCTAATTGAACAAGGCATCAAACCTGGGATGTTACAACCAGGAGTAACTCCAGTCTTGGAGGAGTTTGCTGACAACAGCAGAGAACTGTTGGTGGGGTGAATTTGTTTAAAATGGGATTAATTTGTTTAAAAATAAAGCCCTAGAGACATTTTAGATGTTTCCTTTAGTTAATGAGATTTCCATGATAGTAAAAACAATGAAATTAGCAAACAATGCTGTTAATCTCGGATTACAAGCAGCACCAGGGAAGAATTAGTAAAATAAATCAAGAAGATTTAAGGCACTTTGCTCTCCAATAAAGTAGCTGGGATGGGAGCTCCATGCTGTGTTTTCCTGGGATTAAGGAGGAGAGATCAGGATCTACCTTTCAGCCTTTAACCTGGGATGTTTGAGCATGGAAATAACATTTTCCTAAGCCAAAGCCTTGATTTAACCCATACACAGTAATTACTTATATAAGACCAATCAGTAAATAGCCACCACTGCTTCACATGCAAAAATTCAAATTCTTTTCAGTAAAAAGCCTCAAATTAAACCACAGTAACTTTATACACCCCACATTTGGCTGTTCTAAACCAGTAGTATGAAACGGGGATAAAAAGACAGCCAAAATAGGATTACACAGAGCAGCAATAAAAGGAGAAATAATCTTTGAAGAAATGATGGAAGAACAAATTCTAAGGGCATTAAGAAGGAACAAGTCATGGTTTCAATCACAGCCAGGCAGGAGATTGCTAATCTCATGTGTACAGCAGATAAATCTGGGAGGACAACAAATTGCTCTTTAATTTATGGGCTGAAAAGGTTAATTTTTAATTCCCTCTACTCACTCCAGCAATCAGAGAAATACAGACTGAAACTAATATAGAAATGGAGTTCTCCAAGGCGGAGCCTCAAAAACACAGGGAAAACATTTCATTTTCCGTGGGTGCCTTTGGCAGGAATTTAAATACAATCCATTGAATCCATTAGTTTATTATTTAAAAACAAATTTATTTTTTATTAGTTTTTATTATTTAAAACCAAAATGTATATTGTGTCCCTTTAAGTTACCTGAAATCAAAGAAGTTTCTTGATCAGCCTACAAATGCATAAAAGGAGAGGAGAGGCTGGTAAGGAGAAAAAATTATTAAAAATTATTAGAAAACTCTTTTTAGCAATAGCTCAGCAGGGCCTGGTCACAAAACACAATTCTCATCTCCTGCAAAACTTCCAGGCACTGACACTCAGACAACAAATGACTCAACATTTAGAGCTGTTTTCAGCATGAGTTGTGCAATTACACATAATTGTTTATCCCCGTTGTAAAGCAGACCACAGAAACACTGCTCATCTAAAAGGAATTAACAAAAGTGTCCTTGTCCTCTCTCCTGATGGTGTCAGCTCTGCAGTAAAATCATTGGTTGGAGCACAGACAGCCCTTAAACACAAAATAATCACAATTCAGAAGTTCTGCTGGATGCTCGAGGAGTTTTGTATTTGAGTTCTGAGTTTGGTACAAACCACTTTGGCTCCTAACAGAGGCTTCCCTGGGAACTGGGAAAATCTGTTGGAAGTCCCACCAGGGATTAAAGAATGACAGAACCTTGGAGTTTTTAAGGCTGAAAAAGCCATCCCCAAGCCCCTGGGCTGCAGCCACCACACTGGGAACAGCCCCAGAGCTCTGCAGGTGAATAAATGATAAACACCAATTCTGTGCAGTTTGCCAAAGAGTATTTCCAGAATGCTTTTACAGCAAATATATCAGCTGCTTCTTTTTTTAAAAATCAATAATAATTTAAAAAACTAAACTGCCAAAATACTGAATCCAGGAACTTTCAGACCTCAAGACAGAGCCCAGAGTGGAGGAGACACCCAAAGTGGGTTCAGGGTGAACTTCCCAACAGCCACTGAGCCACTGCAGCAAATTTGTTCCGTGAAATTAAACAATGTACTGGCAATTAAAAAATCTGAGATGAATTTAAAAACTGAGTTTAAAAACTGGAGGCAGCCCCGAGCATTTACAGGAGTGCAGAGCAGTTGAATTTCTGGCTGGGAAACTCTCCTGGCTCAATTGTCAGGCCAGGCTTCTATTTTTAGCCCAGTAATTAAATTGCAGAGCCTGATGTTTTGTGGAGGGTTAAAAAGGATTCCAAAGGTGCAGGAGAAGTGTGTGTACAGCAGCTTGGATCTTGCTGAATAAACTCTGGCTGTCCAGTCACAGCCTGGCCATGTTTAATGAAAAGGAAAACATGTGGAAGAGCTGGACACAATTCCCAGACAATAGGATGATGTCAAAGCTAAAAAATAAAGAAAAAAAAAATCTCGGTGAAGGGTTTTTTCTGAACTAAACACAAAGCAGAGTTGTTTGGGTTTGGAGGGAGAAGGGGAGGAAGGACCCAGAGGAGGAAATAAGAGGAAAGGATGAAGTTTTCCAGAAAAACTTGCACTAGATTCAGGCTCTTAGAAGCTTCAGGACAGTGCTGCTCCAAGACCAAGGGCTGGACTGATTTAGGATTTTCAGACATGTAGGACTGCAGCCCTGTGTACAAGGGAAACATTAAATAGCCATGCACAGAACATAAAGCTCTACTAAAATCCAGACCTGGATTTAGCATCTCTGACAAGCTCCAGAACACCTCGAGGAATCCCAACCATCTCCTGCTGCAGAGCGGGAGGAAACACTGACTGGAAAAGGAAATTCTGTCCAATTTCTAATTGAAATGTGCAGTGATGAAACTCCTCTCAGAGTGAACAGGAGGGCAGCTCATGCTGCACAGACCGTTGGACACTCCCATTAATTATGGGAACAACTGTTCTGAAAAACGCTGCTGGTGGATACCATAAAATAAGATGGTACATGAATAAATTCAACTGGAACAGAACTATGAGAATTAAATCATGCCTATACTGATTTTTTTCACCTAAGCAAATTTGTCATTTAGATTCCTTGGATCAAAAAGATGTAATTAAGCTGCCTTTCCTCTCCACTCTGTTAATATATATATTGTGGAGAAAATGAGGGTATAGGTAGTAACACCAGAGCATTAGCACTTGTGGAAAATGCTATACTGAGAGAGTAGGAGCAAAATTACCTACAGTAATTTTGTTTGTGCAACAAAACAACTGTTTGTGCAAGCAGACCCCTTGAAGTGCAGCCAGCACAGCTTTGGGGTGAGGGTGGTGCTGTCCTTTAACCCAGCTGAAGGGGCTCGGGGGGAATCCTGCCCTGGAGCTGCTGCTCCAGCCTGAGCAGGACCCATTTGTTTCCAGGATCAGCCCGTGTCAGATGGAAGCTCAGGAATAGTGCAGCAGACACAGAGTGAGTGAACTCTTAATCCTGCCTTGGACCTTGAGAAATGAGGGTTTATTTTCCACCTAATGAAACTCTGGACACAATCAGGAATAAAGTCAACCAGAATTAGGCATTTTCGCCTCAAAACAGACTGTTACACAAATGCCAATGATGAAACACCTCCCTCTTAGAAATTAGGACTTCTGGGGTTAATTCCTGTTTTCCAAGACCCAGGTGAGCCCATCCTTTGGTTTCTGGACTGAAGTGATGGATAAATTTGTCAGATTTTTATTTTCTTGCTTGGCAAGAGGCAGCAGTGAAGCTCTTTTTAAAAGCAGTGCCTCCCTTACCTTCGGGGCTCTCCAAGCAGGAGGTCTGCTTTTGTTTTCTCTTGATTACAAATACTTCATCCATTCCCAACCAACACTTTATACTTGACCAGATTCCTGTAAGCTCCTCAACCTGATTTGGAAGCATCTGTTTCCAATACAAGTTGAACTGGAGGACTATTAACAAGATTGGATTCAGACCCCAATCAAGGCAGAACCCAGGAATTGATGTCATGTGCAGGCTGGCACTGCAGTCCCGGGGCAGGGAATGCAGTGGGGGAGCTTTGGGGGCAATAAAAAGTTGATTTTCAGAGTCTATCATAGAAAAGCATCTGCAAATCTGTACAGAATGTACTGTGAGGGTCATCAAAATCAAGTTGTGGGGGGGTTTGGGTAAATAAATACTGTCTGGTTTATGTTTCCAGCTGGGGGCTGGAGCAGGAGGAAGTCAGGATTTGTTCCTGGAATAACCCCCTGAATCCCACAGCCTGTTCACAGAATGCACTGTCCCATAACAGAGAAAAGCAGAATTTGTTTCAGAACAGGCCAGGACCCACAGTTCAGTGTCCCCAGCTCCGTGGGGGACTGTGGTCCATGGTGCAGAAGGTTTTACCCAGCCCACAACCCGGGGCTGGGGAATGGCACAGGAATTTCAGGGCCCATCCCGAGGCCAGGGCTGCCTGGTCACTGCTCTGATTGCAGGGCCTTCTGAAATTCCTTTAATCAGAAAGACAGCCCTGACTGGAATCCTAACTTCTGGGAATCAGAACTCCTGGAACAGTTCCAGGTAAATCTGGTGAAGAACTTGCTTTTAGTCTGCAATGGATTAACACAAAATGCCCAGAATCCCTCCTTGTTCCATCCTGGTTTATGGCTCCAGTTCGTGGAGTTAAGCCCTGAGATGTTTCCACACACAAACCTACAATTCTTCCTACAGAGAAAAAAATCAGAAAATCTCCTTTTTTTGCTCTTTTAAATGCAAATCCAAGGTGTGGTAACAAGACAGGTGACTCTAGTGCACAGTCCCAATCCAGGTAAAAGGTGCCTTCTGTGCATCATCTCTGGAGCTAAACAGAAATTTTATACACAGATTATTAAAATAACAGCTTTATAAATACAAAGAAATGTTACAATGTACCCACAGTTGCTAGTTAGAGATAATTTGGGCATTTTGTGGTATAATCCATTCAATGACTTTCAGTCATTCTTGTCCTGTCTTTCTGGGGCTCTGAATGTTCTGGGTTTCAGCACAAAGCTGAAAATTCAGGAACTGTTATAGTGTTAAATCTCTGGCTAATGCCATTTTTGTGGGAGTGCAAACAGCAGGGATAATCTGTTCCCAAATGGTAACTAGTTTTTGAGGAATCTCTTGCTGTAGCAGTGTACCTAGCAGACCTTTTTGAAAATACTGTGCCATTCCAGGTAGAGAGGGAATATCTACAAGCTTAAAAATTAATTAATCACTTCCATAATCAATTTAAATGTCTGTATATAATCAACAAAGTAAAATCTTCTGGTCTTTTGATGTGTTTGTTGGGGCTTTTAAAATATACTGACAGTGAAGAGGTTGTGGTGAAAGGTAATGGTACCTTGGCTAAGATTTAAAACTAATTTTCCTCTAATTCTAACTTTTATTGCCATGATGGAATAGTTTGGAGAAAGAAAAGAGGGGATGCCACTTGCTCATGACAACAATCACAGAAAGCAGATTTCTGCTGATAAATCCAGCTATAAATTCTTCCCCTGCCAATCAATCTTTTTACAGCAATCAAAGACCAGCATTTTCCTAAAATTCTCATCATCCTTCTCTGAACGGGGAAGAAACCCCATTATTTTCAGTCCCAAAAGCAAAGTGGGGGTTTGAGTTGAGGAGGGCTCAGTGTGAGGGAGAACCCAACAGTGGAAGGAACAGAAAATCAAATAAACAAGTGCCAAAAAGCCACTCACGTTTTTATGGAGCTGAGGGAATCTGCTGCCCAGGAAAACACGGGACACACGGAGCCACAAATGAATCCTGGCATTTCAATCAGGTCAGGAGAGTTCTGGACAAGAAAAGCACATGGATTTTGGCAAGAACGCTCGGAGGCATTTCAGAGGATTAAACTGAGCCCACGGCTGAGCTGGTGGACAGAACTCCTTTCAGGCAGGGCAGTGCTGCTCTTCAGATGACCAGAGAGGGTTAGGAAGGGTTTCATCTTCATCTCACAACAGTGCAGATCAAAACTGCTGCCAGGCTTTGGGACATGACACTGGTAGCAATCCAGTCCTCCTGCTAAAAAAGCCTGGGCACAGTAACTCCAATCAAAACTAAAAACTGTAGCTTGAGCCACAGAAAAAAAAAAAAAAATCATCCTGTCTGGAGAAAGCAAACTCCTCATTTTTCACAATTTAAGAGTTGCTGGTTTTCTCACTCGGGCTGTGTTTTGAAAATAAGCTGCCTCCCTGCTGGGCCGTGCTGCTGGATTACAATTATTTCCCTGGCATTAGCAGGAGGGCCATCAAACTGCTGGAATGGGCTGTGAACTTTCCTGCTGCACTGACAGCAGCAGGTACAATGATGATTTTCCACTTTTATTGATTTTTTTTGTGGTCTCCACGTGGATGTTTACAGCATTTCCCACAGGCAGAGACACAACATTTATGTTCTGTTAGTTCAGAGCATCCTCAGGGCCCAAAGCACACAAGAAGCCTGGGAAGCTGCTGAAAGAAGCAATTTTATAACTTCTTTATTTTGCGATGGGTGGAAAAAACATCCACAAACATGATTGCTAAATCCTTGTTAAAAAATCCTCCAGTTTTTTTTGTTTTTTTTTTTTAAAGTACACAAACTTTTCAAGACACTTCTGGGTGGGATTTTTTTTTTTTTTTTTAAATGGAGACAGGTAAGAATTGACATTATTCCTTGGGATTGCTGGACTGTGCTGCTGGTTCCTGAGGAGCAGCTGACAGAGGACAGTGACACTCAGAGCTCCACACCCCACAATCCAGGCTGTGCCCAAATTCCTCAGGCTGGGACTGCCTGGAATGACACACAAACAAATTAGCTGAAAAATAACATCTGCTGTTGATTTGAGGTCACTTTCTGTTTGCAGTACAAATATGCAAATGTAAAGGTAGAATTTCATGTCTCTTTTTCTTGGCAGCAGTGGAAGTTCCACCTCTTTTTTCTGGGCTCTGTGCCCAGCCCTGCTCACTGTTGTAGTGCTGAGGGTGGCAGTGGAGGAACTGCTGGGGAAATCCTTGGTGCACATTGCTCCTGCCAGGAAATGCTCATTCTCACCTTCTCTATTAAAATTATGTATTATATCTAATTTATTACTAAATAACAGCTGATGAACAAAACTGATGAATAGAATAGAGTAGAATAGAATAGAATAGAATAGAATAGAATAGAATAGATGTAACTTTCTTTCCACACATAAAGTTTTTTGATAAAAACCTGCAAATGTGAATGTGAATTATAAAATCCCACTAAGGTATTGATGACTGTGTCAGTTTGGAGCAGGCAGTGCTCCACAGCCTGGGTTTGTTTCCTGAGGAGGCAGCAGGAAGGAAATCCCTCAGCACTGCCCTCTCTCCAGGTTTATTATCAGTTCCATATTGAATCTGCTTTACCCCCATTTAGTCTGTGGGGAAGCATCTGGTTTTTTGTTACCTCTGCTGTACCATGGATTTTCTTCCCTATTTTTTTTTAAATTGATGAGTTAATGGTTTTGATTTGATACAATATGAAGAGAGCTGTCTTCCATTTCAGACAAAACAGTAGTCCTTGGGCAGGCTGAACATTCCAGCCACCACCAGGATTTGCTCAAGCACAACTCCAGTAACTTCATTCCCTGGAATATGTTTTTTTAAATGCTTATATTGAAACATAACACATGAGGATGTCAACATATTTTATGCTATAAGCAAATAAATCCCACTTTCAATCAACAGGGAGGAAACCAACTGAACCCCTCAAAGAAATGAGGCTTGGTTTCAACTCCTGCACATTTCCACAAAAACCATGGAATCAGTTAAAATATGGAACCAGATTCCAAAAATCTATTGCATTTTTTTATATCAACCGAAAGTACTCCATGGAAAATATTCACAGATGTGTGTGGGTCAGAAATGAGAAGGAAGGGAAAACTGGAGGCAACAGGTCCCAGAACTCCAAAATTTGTACACTCTATTTTTGGATCCCTCTGAAATAAAATGTATTTAGATGCTGTAGGAAAATCTCTCAGTAAAGACTGTGCTACATCATGGAGAACATTTTATTGTTGTAAAAACTTACCTTTTGTCACCTTCTGATTCTTGAGCTTACAGTACACAAAATGTGAATCATAATTAGGTCTTTGTTCACATAAAAAGCAGCAGTGACAATCTGAAGGAAATGAAACATTTGCTTCTTCAGTAGGAAAATAATTTGAAATTATTTTCTGTCAACTGCACAGAAATGTTGCTTCTTAATGATAATGTGAATGACAAACACCAAATCACTGCCAGAAATAAACATCAGTGTAAATATTTGGGTAATTCTGACTTGGTTTATAGATGGCAGAAATAAGAGAAGCCTGTGTTAAACACAGAAGGGCTCAGAAGGAACAGAGAGCTCACAGCTCCACTTGAGCCCTGGATTGGAGAGCTGTGGTTCAGACTGACAGTGAGGACTAGGGAGCAATCCCAAACCTGAGCTCACTGGACATACCTTGCTGAATTCCACGCTCACAAACACGACAGTTTTAATGTACAGCCCCTCTCCAATTAATGTTTCAGCTCACATTTCTGCAGCTCAACAGCTGAGCAAGCGTGGTTTTATTTCACTTGATCTCCACAGCCCTTTCACAGGCCAGTAAATGATATCCCCATTATGGGGACAGACTTTGGAGCCAGCCCCATTTTTTCCCAGGCATTTTCAGCTGCTGGGATCATTCCCCCTTTTCCTTTGTCATGTCCTACCTGCATGCCTGAAACCTGAACACTGTGACCAAGTGATTCTGCACCGTGCCAGTGCCAACTCCAGGGCTGCTCCTGACCTTTTCCCAGCCCAAACTGAATTGGCAGGACAGGATTGCTGGGAAAGCATGGATTTAAATCAACCTTGAGCCAGCTTGAGCTGCAAGTGTGCACACAACTCGGGGTGGAGAAGATAAGAGAGGAGAGGTGATTTATTCTCATTTGCTCTAAGTGGCAGAGATTAGTGTCAAGTCAGTACAACAGCACAGTACATCAAGCTCATTTGTCAACCACCAAATATTTTTGCAAACATGAACAACATGCTTCTCTGGCATATTATTCTATCTGTATTATGCAGATAGAGGAACATATCCAAGATAAAATTAAAAAAAAAAAAAAGAAAAAAGAAAAAAGGCAGCTTTTGCAAAAGGCTTCAGGCAAGATTACTCATGTTTGAATCTGAGAACTGCTTAAGACTTTCAACTTCGGGGAGTGCAGCAGGCAGCGAGCAGACAATGGCAGCGAGCCCTGCCCCAGCACTCCCACACATCCCTGGCACAATCCTGCAGGAGGTGCCAAACCCAGGGAGCTCCGTTCCTGCTCAGCCTCCTGCTCTCATCAGCTGGGAACCATCACTCCTGCACGGAGCTCCAGTCCCAGGAGCTGATTTCTGCCTCCATTCCCACCCCCTGCAAATCCCCAAATCCGCTTAGGGATGCTGAACATCCTCTGTGCAGAGCCCTGCACATCCAGAGTGGAGCAGATCCCAGGAACCTGCCAGATTCCAGGGAATAAACCCACATCTTAGGGATGCTGAACATCCTCTGGGCAGAGCCCTGCACATCCAGAACAGAGCAGATCCCAGGAACCTGCCAGATTCCAGGGAATAAACTCACAGCTTAGGGATGCTGAACATCCTCTGTGCAGAGCCCTGCACATCTAGAATGGAGCAGATCCCAGGAACCTGCCAGATTCCAGGGAATAAACACAGCCCCTGTGAACGAGGCATCACCCACACAATGCTCGCTCCTCTTCCCTCATTACAGACATAAACTGGACTTCCCAGAAAGAAAAATACTCTGTGGATCCAATATGTGACACTCCAGATTTATCACTGCAGCGTTTCAGTCTGAGCTCGTGGTGGATGAGGTGGTTGGTGACACTGAGGGGACAGAAATCTGCTACAGGATAAGCTAAACCAGGGAATCTATTGGAATCTAAGCCCAGAATTCTGATTTTTTCATGTTCAATGTGATGCTAATAAAGTCACATTACTTTCCTTAGAGGTATTTACCCATATTCTGAACACTCTTAAAAGATACATGTATATAAAATATTTATGTATTTGTTGTTTCCATGCAATTAATTTGGAGATAATGCTATGAACAAGAAGTAAGTTATGACTCAGATTCCAGGTGAGCTTTAAAGTCATTAAAATCCATCCAGCCTAATCAGTGACTCAACACAGTGTCAAACACTTTGTGTTATTTAACACTCCACAGGAAACACGGGAAGCATAAAAAACTTGCAGAAGGCAAATGTAGGGTGATCCTGACCCCAAAACTCCCTAAATTATGCCACCATTACACACCAAACTATTCAAATCTTGAAAAAGTTTCAAAATTTGTTTTCACAGAGCATCATGCTCTGTAAAATTAGAACTCACTTTGCTCGTCAGTCAGAAACTCCTTTTTCTTTCCATGAGACTTCAGGTTTTTGTGGCTTTAAATGCTGGAACAAGTTTCCTGCAGGCATTGGCTGCCTCTCCAGAGAACTGTCATCATTGGACCTAAACCAATTAAACAATAAAAATACATTTATGCACTGAGAAATCACCTGAGCCTGGAGGATATACTCAGTTTATTCTGCTTATACATGGGAAGTTATTAGACTTTGTAACCATCTTTGAAAATAACTTTTAAAGTTAAAAAAATGTTGCAAGTAGTGTTTCAAGTACTTCTAATCCCATTCTGGCACTGTGCAGCTGAGCAGACTCACTAAAACGAGACATGGTATTTAAATTTGATTTTTGGGTTTTTATTGTTCAATATTTATGCAGCAGAATATTTGTGTTACCAGTCCCTGAGGCTATAATTTTAGTATTACAAAAATTGCTACTTTTCTTAAACCCCTGGCAAAATGTCCTGTCCCAGGAAGAGCAAACCCAGGAATTCCACATGAAAAGAGGACTGCCAGAACATTCCTTTGCTTCCTGTAGTATTGAAGTTGTCAGTGATGAGAAAAGCTTAGAATGGTTTGTGTTGGAAGGGATCTTAAAGATCATCCAGTTGCAACCCCCAAATTATAAAATTATATTAAAAATGGTTTATGTTCCTATAGCAATTCTTTGCCTGTAACTTCATATTGTGTCTTAGATTGCTGCTCAAATACTG